CAAACTGATTTGCTTCGTACAGATTAGATTCGTTGGGTTAACAAGGACAGAATTTACGTCTCACTGACTTAGCTGAAGGTGCATATAGCCGAAGGTGTATACGGGTAACGAATCATTCGTATCCATTCCAGTAGTTCAAAGTTTCTTTTTGAACGATTAGTTTTGAATGAAGTAAATATTTGTAAGTTTTGATAGTGTTTCGAAAGTGCATTGGATTCTATAATATTTTGCAACATACATGCTGAAGAAAGAGTAAATTGTTTCTCTCATGAACTATGTCATGACTCACACTTTTTGGTGATAACAAATGGTGTCCTAGCCGGTTTGCACGCACTACAACTATTCTATCGGACATGCTACCTTGCAGCATTACAGGTACCGATAACTCTATCCATCAAGGCTTAGGCAGATGAAAAAAATCACTTATCTTTGTCGAGATTTGAACCTCAATTTTCCAAGTTTGAATTCGCTTTATTGACTGTTAGGCCACATCCCTGGGTGCCCTCGTCATTAGGGTTGTTCAAAACCGAATCTTAATCGTTAAGCGAATCGCAAAATTGACTTATTGGCTTTGGTATTAGGTTATCGGCTAATGGTTGGTGAATGCATTGAGAGTTTATAATTAATGGCTTAACGGTTTGGGGGTGGATCACTCAATTTTATTATCGGATAAACCGTTAACCCGTTAAGACTTTTTGTATTTATACTTTTACCCCCGTTAAGCTAAAGGTGGTTGATATGACCAAACTCGTTGCCCAAATACTACACCCGCTCCAGCTTTGAATGAATTTGATTTGCAATGACTCTGCCGGCAATTGAACTACATTGAAGAGTAGACATGAACTAGTTGGGAGAGCGTTTTATTGGGGTTCAGCTTCTATTTTTTAGTGTAACTCAGTTAGTTCAGCTTACAATACAAAATGCTTCATTTATTTCATCCAGAATCATCGCAAAGACAAAGCAAAGTCAAGAATTTTTAGCCACTATTTTGTTTGGACTCTATAAATGCTCAACTAGAGGGAGGCGAGCATCGAGCAGATGTGATACTTCACTCCAAGTTTTCCCTTATCACTAATTCTCTACTTTTTTTATTCTCTATTTGATTTAGCTGATAAACCGTTCGCTAATCGATAATCCGCTACCAAACAGTCCGATGTCTTATTGGTTGGCTAGCGGATTACTACACAATTGATAACCGATAAGTCAAACCATTAAGCGTAAATATCCGTCTGATTTGCCCCGTAAGCACCCCTACTCGTCATGACTTTTCACTTGGATACATATAAAGGAATACACCCATAATATCAAGTTCTGTGAAATCAAAACCTTATATTAGCATTTGCTCTTATTCTAATGAAATTTGTTAAGTTGGCTAGAATCGACCCTAAAAGGAGCTCCACCACTTTCCTTAAATGGAAACCTACATCATTTCATCTATTGAATTTCCAGAAGTGCTTGACTTGCAATAAAGATTGAAGAAGTCTCTGGTACATTGAGCTCAATGATTTCTTTTAAATGGTAGTATCATAATAATAGCACAATGGGGGTTATGTATATTGAATGTTCAAACTGGTTAATAGAAGTCTTGAACTAATATATTACAACAACAACAACAACAACCCAGTGTAATCCCATTTAGTGGGGTCTGGGGAGGGTAGTGTGTACGCAGACCCTACCCCTACCCTGGGGTAGAGAGACTGTTTCCAAATAGACCCCTCTTGAACTAATATATTATGACTTTAAATTTTGGATTAAATGCTCTCATTCATATATTAATATAGCGCAATCAGAACATCAAAAAAATTCCACAAAATCAACATATATTAATACACTTAAAAAAGTAAATATAGTCATAAATTCGTGTTGCATGACCCCCCGAAACATCAAAAATTCAACTGAAAATTCATGGCGAAGTAATGAGTGTTGGTCACTTGGCCGTTTTCTAGGGAGAAATTAAAAAATAATCAGATTTACAAGTGATCATTCAAAAATAGCCACAGTTTCAAAAGTCATCAAAATTTAACCACTTTTCATGTAAAGATAAATCTCAACGAAAATACTGTTCAATCTGGAAAATACTCCAGCATAATATACTGGAACTCCAGTATACTTTGCTGGAACTCCGGTATATTCAGCAAAGTATACTGGATCCAGCAAAGTATACTGTTCCAATATAATATGCTGGAAGTTCATATACAGGTGCACCGAACTCCAGTATATTATGCTGGATCGGTCTCTATTCCAGCAAAATAGTGGCTATTTTTCAATGACTTGACAAACGCTGGCTATTTTTGAATGACCAGTCCGAAAACTGGCTAGCCCGTGCTATTTTTACCGTTTTCAATGCACCTACGAAATTTTAGACCAATCAAGGTTCGTAAAAAAATTTACATAATCAACATGTACTAATACACATGAAAAAAGTGGATATGCTTACAAAATCGTGTTGCATGACCTCGAAATGCCAGAAAATGAACTCGAAAGTCATGGCGAAGCAATGCTATTGGTGAGTAGGCCATTTCTAAGGAACCCACAAAATTTCAGGCCGATTGGAGTCCGTCAAAAAAATTCTACAAAATCAACATGTACTAACACACGAAAAAGTGGATATAGTCATAACTCGTGTTGCATGACTTCGAAAAGTGCAATAAGATGAACTCGAAAGTCACGGCGAAGCAATGAGTATTGGTCACTAGGTCATTTCCTATGGACCTTTGAAGTTTTATGCCAATCGGAATCGGTAAGAATTTTCAAAATCAACATGTATTTATACACGAAAAAAGTGGATATTCTAATAAATTCGTATTGCATACTCCAAAACACCAAAAAAATAAAGTCGAAATACCAAAAATGAACTTGAAAGTTATGGCAAAGCAATGAGTATTGGCCACTAGGTCATTTCCTATGGACCTATAAAATTCCAGACTAATCAGAGTACGTCAAATTTTGTTTATTACCAGTATGCGCTAATACACACGAAAAGGTGAATATAATCACAAATTCGTGTTGCATGACCTCGAAAAGCCACAAAATGAACTCGAAAGTCATGACGAAACTATGAGCATTGGTCACTAGGTCGTTCCCTATAGATCTACGAAATTTCAGGCCAATCAGAGTTCGTAAAAAGATTCTTCAAAATCAATATGTTCTACTACACACGAAAAAATGGATATAATCATAAATTCGTGTTACATGCCCTCAAAACGTAATAAAATAAACTCGAATGTCATGGTGATGACTTGAGTATTGGTCATTAAGTCATTTTATATGGACCTATGAAATTTTAGGCATGTCAGCATCCGTCAAAAAAGATTTTCAAAACCAATATGTACTAATACACACAAAAAAGTAAATATAGTTATAAATTCGTGTTGCATGACCCCAAAATACCAAAAAATAAATATGATATGCCAAAAAGTAACGTTAGTCATGTCGAAGCAATGAGTATTGGTCTTCACTCTCCTATTCGAATTGAACTAATTCTTTTGTTTTGCACTCAAATGTTATTACCAATTTGGTAGAATCGGCTCCTTATTTTATTTTTTCTTACTATAATTCTATTTTACTTTTCACCCTATTTTTTTAATAATTACTCTCTCCATACTTTATTTGTTTAATAATATTATAAGCTTATTAAACAAATTGATGGTAGAGTTAGACTTCTTTATAACGTCATCTTTATGTAACAATACTTTTTATAAAAGTCAAAATTTTTCGGAATCAAATCTCATATTATATTATACCATATATTTTTTATAATAGTAATTTGTTATAATATTTAAAAATATTCGGAACAAACGAGACTTGAGGTTTGACTGTATATGATATTATAGAATGACACAATTTTTCAAAATATTACTATAGAATACGATATAATACTATTTATTAAAAGAAACATATGTAACAATCATCAAAATTTTAAAAAATAATTGCCCAATTTGTCAAATATAGCAATAGACAAACGCCGATTCCTTGCCTGAATTGGCAATTGGCGCTCCTTTGCCCTACATTTTCTCCAGTCCCTTTTGAAAAGCTGCGATCAGTGTTCTTTGTAGTTCGGAGCGACCACCATTGGCCGAGCTTCAGTTGCTCAGAAGGTACAGGAATTTAATTTTTTCCTCGTAATTCAAAAATTAGTAGATATGGGGAACTAAAATTACTATATTGCTTTACCATTTATGTTGCTCCTCTTCATTGGTTACCCTTATAAGCTGCTTTGCTTCCAATTTTTGGGCTTATTCTTATGATTGATGCTTCCTGGAAGTATCAATTTTCTATGTCTCTGTTAATTTCACCTAAAATTATATTTTATTCCTCGATAAAATGTGGAAGGTATTTTCTTTTTTTTGTTAGCGCTACCTTATTTATTGGTTTCTCTATAAATTGAAGGTCTCTCTTTCCCCCTTTGTTGAATAGAGGTGTTTATGGTGTTACCCATTTGTTTCTGGACGTGGATTTAATGTTCTTTTTTCTGAGAAAATAATTTACATGGGGTGTATTCATAAATCAGATTTAAGGGGTTTGTTTTGAAGTTCTATATAACTAGTTTTTTAGTTTTGAAAGATTTGTAAAACTGAGTTTGGAAATTTTCTTGTAAAAAAAAAAACCGAATTTCTTTCGACAAAAACAGAACGCTTTCTATAGAAATTCACGCAAGCTCAGTTTTTGGGAACTCCAAAAGAAATGGCTTAAGAATTTTACTATGTTGTAAGCTTTTGACGAGTCACAAGTGTGGGTTAATATATGGAATTTTGGTTTTCTTGTGGTTATTCATTTGTTAAAACATGAAGAGCTGACTGGTAGTTTAATATAATCCCCTTCGCCGAAAAAATGTATGAAGTATATGGGTAAAACAATGTTTTATGTTTATATAGAACTTAGGCAAAATACATAAGTAGCCACCCAACCTATAATCCAAATCCCTGTTACACACTTTTTGAGGACGAATATCATATTACACACGTAACCTTTCAAAATTATGTCTAGTACACACTACTTATGCCAGATGGCACGCGTGTGTTTAACAAAAAAACCGGAGCGCGTGAAACCTATTGATTATCTGTCCAAATACTTATATAAGAACATTTTTCTCCTTAATTTTCTTAAATTATTAGTTAAAAGATAAGAAAAAAATGTTGAGGCCCTTCTTCCCCATTTGGAGCCCTTACCGTCCTGGGAATCCGGCGAAACCACAGCTCCCTTTTCTCTCCCACGCCTCCCATCGGCCATCTCATCCCCCTTTCATCTCCTTTAAGTAGATCTCGTCCTTAACTTATAACGTCGGTGACGACCTCAAGCAACATAGAAACCTCCAGGTCGTTACATTCACTGTTAGATCATGACCGACAAGGTCAATCTTCTCCGGCTGGGTAGAGCTCTCAGATCTTTCCGACAAGTTGGTGGTTCTTCGTTCAGGTCTGGTCTCGTTTGGTTAAAAAATGCAAACGATGGCGACCTCCATTTTCCGGCCACTATTACAGTGGCAACACCCTTCGGTAAAAATGGTGTTTCCATAGCAAACAAAACCNATAAATCAGATTTAAGGGGTTTGTTTTGAAGTTCTATATAACTAGTTTTTTAGTTTTTGAAAGATTTGTAAAACTGAGTTTGGAAATTTTCTTGTAAAACAGAACGCTTTCTATAGAAATTCACGCAAGCTCAGTTTTTGGGAACTCCAAAAGAAATGGCTTAAGAATTTTACTATGTTGTAAGCTTTTGACGAGTCACAAGTGTGGGTTAATATATGGAATTTTGGTTTTCTTGTGGTTATTCATTTGTTAAAACATGAAGAGCTGACTGGTAGTTTAATATAATCCCCTTCGCCGAAAAAATGTATGAAATATATGGGTAAACCAATGTTTTATGTTTATATAGAACTTATTGAATACCTTTCACATAAATAAAATCTTTAGTGTAGTGTTTTTTGAATCCCCTTGTTAGAATTTATGGCTTCACTGCTGCCCATTGCTAAAGATGAATAACCAAGGAGCATTTGACGCATCATTTGTATGTGTTAGGATATGAAATGCTTTGTGAAATTACATTGTAATTTGTCTTCTTTTCGCGTGTTTGAATATCAATGAAGCCTAGCATTTTCTCCCTCATAACTACTCATTCCCCCAAATAATGAAAAAAAGATCTCCTGACCTTTAATGTATGTCCATTTTTTTTTCATTATATATTTTTTTCTACAATATTCATGTTAGAGAACTATGTTGGCATGCAGGGGCGGATTTAGGGGGGCGCAAGGGTGTTCACCCGAACACCNCCCCTCATAGCTACTCATTCCCCCAAATAATGAAAAAAAGATCTCCTGACCTTTAATGTATGTCCATTTTTTTTTTCATTATATATTTTTTTCTATAATATTCATGTTAGAGAACTATGTTGGCATGCCTCACTTGATGGAGATACAGTTTATTAAACCTATAAATTCTCCCTCATATTTACTATTGAAGTGCATTTACATTTTATAGACAAACTTTTATCTGTTGTACTCATGTTAGACTAATATTATATCTTTTCGATGTTTCACTAGATGGTGATTCTTATTTTTTGTTTTAGTGCTTTCTTCGATGAGTTGACACTGAGAAGATCCTTATGGTTCTTAATGCAGGCAGTAAGATAATGTTTAGATCATTTCTTCTAAAGGCTGTCTATAAACAGCTTAGTTATCATCCAGCTGTCACTAAACAGCTTTGTCGTCATCCTTTTCAGTTCCATCCAGAGGTAAAATTTTCAAATCCTGTCAATCCAATTCTGGGACAGTAGTGATTGGTATTCTAGTTTCACTTAGTGCTAACTTTTGCTTCTCCGATAGAGAGGAATGCACAGCAGAAATAAGAAGGCGATGGAGTACATTGCTAGGGGGTGGAATGCTCTGCAGGAAGTTGATAGAGTAATTGATTATTGTGAGCTTAATGACAAACGTCTCATTCCTTCACTTAGGGTACGTTTAGTAGCAAATAGCTTGATACAATTGCTCTTCTTTTGTTTATGGTTCTTTTGAAGGAAATTAATGTGTTTGTGTCTGTGATTTTACTTCTTTAGTGCTTACTACTATCTCCATTTATCTTAGGTTGTGCTGTTTTACACCCAGAGACATTGTTGTTAAGTTTTCATATTATGTCCTTAGAATAGTGTGTTATCCTTGCTGTAAGTCTATTTAGAAGATTGCAACATGAACGAAGTGGCTCAATGGTCATTATGTTTTCTTCGGTTTCTTGAATAAGTAATGGAAGTTGGTTGCTAGTAATGATTGTAAAAGAGCTAATTCAGTTAAGTAGATTTACTGATCTTTCTGGGGTAAATTTAGCTCCCAACATGGCTACGGTCAACTTAACCCTCTGATCTCTCTTTTGTAAAGCACCCGACTTGTGATTCTTGCTGTTTTTTGAGTTTGGAGATGAAGGCACAGCATGGTAATTAGTCTTTTTTTCTAAAGAAGGAATTGAGGTTATTCCAAAGAAATGGAAGACGCATGCACTTTTGGCCTGGTAGCTAAATTACAATAACGGTCCTGTTTATAATCGACTTTCCTTATGAAAATATCATCATTGTATATTTTGTTTGCTTCTTTACTTCTCACGTGGTTACGTCTCTCTTATATCAAATCAACATTTACTAAGAAGTACCTTCCATTTGTTAAATCTATTTCGTTTTTTGTATGTTAGATATTTGTTGTACTACTTAAGCATGTATTTCTTGGTAGAGTTTATCCATTAATATTCTTTTTCTTGGATTTTTGACTTATCAAATATTTTCTCATTGGGTGGTTATGTGTTAGACAGCAAAGGAGAATTTTGAGTTGGCTCTGGAAGCAGACAACTCAAATACCCATGCAAGATATTGGCTTTCAAAACTGCATCTCAAGTACCATGTCCCCGGGGCGTGCAAAGCTGTGTAAGTTTTGTCTCTTTGGTGTGAAGATTGGACATATGCAAAGTGCAGACACTTATCATCGTTCATGTGCTATATTGTTGCATGCTTTTAAGCAGGACCAAATAGATCTTCATGCTCCACTTAAAAGGTTTCTAGCTTTTCCAAATATATATTATTGAACTTAAGCCATCATGTGTATTATTGAGGTTTTTAACAATTTCCTAACTGATTTGACCATTTTCTAGTTATTAATTACTCTCTCATTCCCCTTTTATGTGCCATCCTTTCCTTTTTAGTCTGTCCCAAAATATTGGCACTTTTCTATATTTAGAAACATATTAAACTTTTTAACTTCTCGTTTTACCTTTAATGAGATAACTTATAATCACGCATATGTCTATGGCTTGTTTTGGACCACAAGTTTTAAAAGTCTTTCTTTCTTAAACTTTGTGCCAATCAAACACCATCCCGTTTTATGGGACAGAGGGAGTAATTGATTTTTCAGCTTATTTAATCGCTGCGTACATGATATTTATGTCTATATAACTTCTTAATTTCGTTATGAGATGAGGGAGTTGTTAATTA